GCAAATTTTGTTGAATTTTCTATTGGATTTGGCGATTCTATCCCCCACATAAACAAGCAGTGACGACACAATGAAATAGGGMAATTCCTTCAAAGCTTTGATTAAGTTTGAGGGAAGAAGAATACTTTGGCATTGGTGTGCTAAGTGGGCTATCACTGGTGATTTCAATTCAAAGCGAGCAACAAATGAGGTAAAAACTGAAATAGAAAAAAAATTTCACTTTTCTTGTTACTAGCATTATTAATCGTTCATATTAGGGCCATGGAGATTGCTCTTAATATAATATCAAATAAGTATTATTTATATATTTTCATTAAATTATATAGATTCTGCATATAATTAATTCCAGGGAACGTTTGTTGTTTAGAATATGGAATGCAATATAATACTTAATTGAAAAGGAAGTGAGGGAGTGACTTTGAAAATTAAGTGAAACAAAATGCGGTTTTGTATCTTATTTTACTCCCCCCCCCCCCCCACTCTCGAAAAATCGTGGTTACGCACTTGACCTCTCTCATATAAAATATGATTATAGATATACTCTCACAGTCGGCTGGTTAAGGTGAGATTCTTATTTACTTCGGTTGCAGTGTATAATCTTCACTCGTAGAAAACTTTATAGACTTCAAGAATGAAATATACTTATGTTCGATTAGATACATTTTATTTTCTAAGACAACAATACCATTAAATCAAATAAAATTATACAATTATCAGTCTCTCATAGTATTTCATGCTGCTTGGGTGCCCGAAATATAGACTACAAACTAATCAAAGTTAGATATCCAAGTTAAACGTGCTTATATTGAATTTTTATTATAAATATCGGTCGACGATCTACTRTATTAAATTAAATCTGCTTATTCATTTGCGATACATCAGTCAATATCAAGTCATATCMTAAACTAACTAAAGCAAGTTTTACGATTTTTTTAGGTGGAAAGTCTGGGTGCTAAACCTCAAAAAAAAAGTCACGCGTTTAAACAGCTTTACCAAGCCACCACTGGGTGGTAGATGAAGACGAAGATGAACATCGATGASCAGGGTTTATAAGGTTGTATCTTCCAAAGTTGTCGCACCAGTCATCAACAATATTGTGTACTCCTCCAGGTCTTCCATCCCATTGGCAACCGAGTTTAGATCCATATCCACTATCAACAAATGAATGCAGAGCAGAGGTTTGTCTGAAATGAGTGGTACAGTTCTGACAGCTGATTCCACGCACGTTAATGTACTCGACTCTTGCACACGTGTGACTCCCCAAGTACGTCAGAATATCCATTTCACTCAGATGTCCCCGGATATAGTCTGTTTTGACCAGTCTCTCAGTGTCATAGTTACAAGTGGCTCTCCAGTGAGTAGCGTCACGTTTAACGTGTTGCATTGTATTGYGTGACAAGCGATAGTCAGACCAGTTGGGAGGGTTTTCTTCGTTGGAAGGAAAATCCTTTGTCATGGGTGCCGCTTGGAATTTTTTTTTTGCCGAAAGAGCAAATGACTCGATCAAAGTCCACACCATCCCCGGCTCTGACGTCATATCACAGTACACCTTCAAAGCTTTACCATTGGTCGTTTGAATTGGATAGATATTTGGCACAGACATTGTGCTGTACGTTTCACATGAAAGAGGACGAATCTGACAAACTCTTCCACCAAAGCCCTGTGGACATTTGCACTGAAACTTGTTTGTGACGTTTTGGCACGTCTCGATGCAGGTTCCACCGTTAAGACAAGGTTTAGAATAACGACAACAGCCATTATTACACTGACTTGAACAAACAGCACTGTTGG